CTGCAACGGCAGCCCAGCTGTCTTGATAATTGAATTCGGCTTTCGGAAATACAAAGAACGGGCAGCCTTAACTCCACCCCTAAAAGCCTGACAACTCCACCCCTAAAGCAATGCTTCCTGCGACTTGAAAGGGCGCCCGTAGCAAAAATACACAACATTATCAAGAAGCTCGCATTGTCGGAGTGTTGCACCATGTTGCATCCAAATGCAAATGCATTATCGTAGCTGAACAGTTGGGCCATCAAGTCCCGAACTCAAGCTGGGCTAGGACACTGTGTAACAGCCTTACCAGCAAGAAAACGACAAGTCCATAATCCTGAAGAAACACCGTGCTCTGGTTTCACTCTTGAAAGCCCACAAATACGCTCGAAGTTTTGCCGGGGCCGTGCCCGCAAACAGGCTTGAGGCCCCGCCCGGGCCGAGCACAGACGCCGCGCAAGGCGCTGGTAACGCGCAGGCGGCTGAAAGGACCAAAACGGCCAGGCTCGCTAGCCCGCTCGGGATCCCGCTCGGGCCGAGCACGGATGCCGCGCGAAGCACCGCTCGGGATTTCCGGGGCGAGCGCGGATGCCACGCAAAGGCAGACCCTCTTGCGGAAGCCATACAGATAGCACACGCCAGACCCTCTTGCGCCTTGTTTGGCCGTGTCAGCCAGGGCTCTTTGCATCACGCCTGCCAACCCGCTTCTCTACTGCAATAGCTGTCTTGACAATTGACTTTGGCTTTGGGATTCACAAACAACGGGCCCCTATAAAAGCCTGGCAACTCCACCCCTAAAGCAATGCTTCTTGCGACTTGAAAGCACGCCCGTAGCAAACATCAACGACATCATCAAGAAGCCCGCGTTGTCCGAGTGTTGCATCATGTTGCGTCCAAACGCAAACGCATTATCGCAGCGGACAGTTGGGCCTGTGTAAGAGCTTTACCCGCAAGAAAACGACAAGTCCATAATCCTGAAGAAGCACCATGCTCTGATTTTACTCTTCAAAGCCCACAAATACGCTCGAAGTTTTGCCGGGGCCGCGCCAACAGGCTTGGGATCCCGCTCGGGCCGAGCACAGATGCCGCACAAAGGCGCTGGTAAGGACCAAAGCAGACACGCTCGGGATTCCGCTCGGGCCAAACCCTTGCCAAGTCGCAGATAAGGACCAGCACCGTCACGCTCGGGAGTCCACTCGGGCCAGCTATGGATGCAACGCGCAGGCGCCTGCAAGGACCCAAGCGGCCAGGCTCGCTTGCCCGCTCGGGATCCCGCTCGGGCCGAGCACGGGTGCCACGCAAGGAAAAAGCAAAGGCAAGCGAAGCCACGCTCGGGATCCCGCTCGGGCTGCCACGCAAAGGCGTCACTCTTGCGGAAGCCATACAGTTAGCACACGCCAGACCCTCTTGCGCCTCGTTTGGCCGTGTCAGCTAGGGCTCTTTGCATCACGCCTGCCAACCCGCTTCTCTACTGCAAGCGACTTGAAAGGACGCCCGTAGCAAAAATCAACGACATCATCAAGAAGCTCGCGTTGTCCGAGTGTTGCATCATGTTGCATGCAAACGCAGACGCATTATCGCAGCGGACAGTTGGGTCCGTGTAAAAGCTTTACCCGCAAGAAAAAGACAAAGCGCCGTGCTCTGATTTTACTCTTCAAAGCCCACAAATACGCTCGAAGTTTTGCCGGGGCCGCGCCCGCAAACAGTCTTGGGATCCCGCTCGGGCCGAGCACAGATGCCAGGCAAAGGCGCTGGTAAGGACCAAAGCAGACACGCTCGGGATCCCGCTCGGGCCAAACACGTGCGCCGTGCCAAGGCGCAGATAAGGACCAACACCGTCACGCTCGGGAGTGTAATGCAACGCGCAGGCGCCTGCAAGGACCAAAGCGGCCAGGCTCGCTAGCCCGCTCGGGATCCCGCTCGGGCCTTGCAAAGGCAAGCGAAGCCACGCTCGGGTTCCCGCTCGGGATCCCGCTCGGGGCGAACGCGGATGCCACGCAAAGGCGTCACTCTTGCGTAAGCCATACAGTTAGCACACGCCAGACCAACTGCGCCCCTAAAAGCCTGCTTCTCCACAGCTAAAGCAATGCCTCCTGCGACTTGAAAGCGCGCCCGTAGTAAACGACTGACATTATGAAGAAGCTTGCTTTGTCCGAGTGTTGCATCATGTTGCACGCAAACGCAAACGCATTACCGTCCCGAACTCAAGCTGGGCTAGGGCACCGTGTGGAAGCTTTACCCGCGAGAAAAGACAAGTCCATCATCCTGTTTAAAAACACCGTGCTCTGGCTTTACTCTTGAAAGCCCACAAACACGCTCGAAGTTTTGCCGCGCAGAGAGGCTTGGGATCCTGCTCGGGCCGAGCACAGACGCTGCGCAAAGGAGCTGGTAGACACAGTCGGGATCCCGCTCCGGCGAAACACGTGCGCCGCACCAACGCGCAGATAAGGACCACTCGGGCCAACTACTATGGATGCAACTCGCAGGCGGCTGAAAGGACCAACACGGCCAGGCTCGCTAGCCCTCTCGGGATCCCACTTGGGGCGAGCACGGGTGCCACGCAAAGGCGTCAGACCCTCTTGCCGAAGCCATACAGTTAGCACACGCCAGACCCGCTTGCGCCTCCTTTGGCCGTGTCAGCCAGGAGTGTTCGCATCACGCTTGCCAACGCGCTTCTCCTACAGTTTTTGCCAAGCAGACACGCTCGGGACCCCGGCCAAACGTCTGACTTACAGTTAGCACACGCCAGACCCTAGCGCCTTCTCAGCTGGTGTCAGCCAGGACTCTTTGGATCATCACGCTTGCCAATGCGCTCCTCCTAACTACAGTTTTTGCCCCTCACTGAAATGGCAACGCAGCAGTTTTAGTGCGTGGCATGCACCCCCATTATTCGGCGAAGGGCGCGCTTCTCCCTTAGGTGCATCCATCGGCGCAACTGCGGCACCCCCCCCCCAGGATGTTTCGAAGTAATGATGATTCTGGCATGGCACCCTGCAACAGCACCCTGCGCAACTCTGCAGCACCCTGCGCAGCTCTGAGTCTCGTCCTGCCTTCCTTTCCTTCCTTCCTTCCTTCCTTCCTTCCTTCCTTCCTTCCTTCCTTCCTTCCTTTGCTTCCTTTGCTTCCTTTGCTTCCTTTGCTTCCTTTGCTTCCTTTGCTTCCTTTGCTTCCTTTGCTTCCTTTGCTTCCTTTGCTTCCTTTGCTTCCTTTGCTTCCTTTGCTTCCTTTGCTTCCTTTGCTTCCTTTGCTTCCTTTGCTTCCTTTGCTTCCTTGCTTCCCTTGCTTCCCTTGCTTCCCTTGCTTCCTTGCTTCCTTGCTTCCTTGCTTCCTTGCTTCCTTGCTTCCTTGCTTCCTTGCTTCCTTGCTTCCTTGCTTCCTTGCTTCCTTGCTTCCTTGCTTCCTTGCTTCCTTCCTTGCTTCCTTGCTTCCTTGCTTCCTTGCTTCCTTGCTTCCTTGCTTCCTTGCTTCCTTTCCTTGCTTCCTTGCTTCCTTGCTTCCTTGCTTCCTTGCTTCCTTGCTTCCTTGCTTCCTTGCTTCCTTGCTTCCTTCCTTGCTTCCTTGCTTCCTTGCTTCCTTGCTTCCTTGCTTCCTTGCTTCCTTGCTTCCTTGCTTCCTTGCTTCCTTGCTTCCTTCCTTCCTTCCTTCCTTCCTTCCTTCCTTCCTTCCTTCCTTCCTTCCTTTCCTTTGCTTCCTTTGCTTCCTTCGCTTCCTTCGCTTCCGTGCTTCCGTGCTTCCTTCCGTCCTTCCTTCCAATGCCCATGTAAAGCTATTTTGATGCCAAGCCTTATTTCAAAGACCTTGAACAATCCGACTGCCAGACTAGTTGGAGTGCTAACTGTTGGGCCTCAACCACGACTTGGGAAAAAACGCTGCGCAAGCGCCCAAACAGTTAGCACTCAACGTTGGACTGCCGTGTGCTAACTGGTTGATACTCACTATAGGGCTCCCTTCAACCGAACCAAAAAAAAAACTTCCGGAGGGGGGTGGACAGGCTTGGGGCTGTTTTGGGCGCTCCATTTGGGTATGGGTCAAAATTAAACCACCAGGAACTGGACCACAGGTTTTAGTCTTTTTTTCCATGTAACAGGGCAACCCATTCGTGGTACCCACTTTTCACCCACAGCCATTTGGCTTGCCCGGGCGCGGGTGGTGTTGGCCACCGTCCAACTCTCGTACCGCCGCCCCGCGGCGCTGCCCGCGGACCACAGCAGCGCCCCGCAGCACGCCTTGCCCAGGGCCAGGCAGCTCAGCAGCGCCACGGCCCGCGCGTGCCGGCCCCGGGCACCGCCGGGAGAGCCGCCGGCGGCGGCGGCGGCGGCCGGGGACTCCATGGGACGCCGAGAAAAAAACACAAAAAGGCGGAGGGTGGAGGCCTTGACAAATTCCGGCTAAGAAGTGGGGGGGTCTCGAAACTCGCAACGATGAAATGGAGAAAAGTACAACTTGTTTGCCAGGTAGTTTGAGGGTGGTGCATCTATCATCTTGGGCACAAGCGGTGACGAGCGAGCTCGCTCTGCAAAGGCAAACAGTTGAACAAGTTCTCGGATCGGGGCTACTGCAATCCTCTTGGAGCATTTGGTGACCGTTCCCCAACGAAACCTGACCAGAATTGCCTCACACGTGGCCTTTCGCTTCAGCTGCAAACGTGCAAACACAACGCGGTGCATCGCAACTGGGGACATATGGCTGTGGCTCAAAACAATGTACCAATTCCACCTTGGTAAATGGAACCAAAGAAAACCTGAGAAACCCTAGCTCGTCAATTTTGAGCCACACGCATGTTTCTCTTTGAGGTGGAGAACGTGAAATCAACCTGACATCCTCTGCTAGGCGTCCCTACTGTGGAACCCTGCACCACCCCAAAAAAACCTGGAATGATAATTCACCTGTAAATGCCAACAAACAATGGTGTCCCATACATTTCAAGCGGCTTTCCGGATTTTGTCCATCCACAGTACTTTTCACGCCTCAACCTCACTAGTCATCCAGTCCGCATGGGTCACTCTCCCGAGGCCCACGGCATTGCCGAGCATGTGCGTGAAGGAGCTGTGGGAGAACTGGTATGTGATCCTCCAAAGCACCGCATTGATGTTGACCCCATATTAATCAACCCAGGGATCCCCTTGAAGGAAACCACCAGTTGGATGATTTATAAGGGTCATTCCCTCATTCCCTGAGTTTATTAATAGGGGTGGCGCTGTCAACCTGGGCGAAACGTGTAAACTGCGGTTGATGCAGATCGGACACCGGGGTTTGCTTCAACCAGCACGAGGAGAATGTTTCCTCAACCAGCTACGACATCTGGAGGGTGACCCCTTGCAACTCGAAAGTCCTGGGGAGAGCCAAGCGCTAAGAAAATGGCAGCCCTTCGGCCAGCCCTTGCTCCGACCGCCGGAAATGTCTGTGACTTTGGGTTTCTACCACGGCCATACATGATTCACACAGCCAACACGGGTTGTAAATTCCCTTCTGTGGTTAGCCAACATGGCTCTCAAAGTTTTTCTGTCGCCCTTCTCTCTCCCGCATGATGCAGTGGATTGACTTTGGGTTTCTACCCAACACGGCTTTACATGATTGCCACAGCCAACATGGCTTATACAGCCCTCACTTTCTCCATGGATAGATTCACCCCCCACCAAACCATGGCCCCTTTGGCCGAGCCAACCAGTCGGCTCGAAACCTCGGTGCAGCCAGCACACGGCCGCCAGAGTTGAAACCTCAAGTCCTGGGCGGGGCCCCCTCCATCCTGGAGCCTTGAAAGACATATCCGAAACTTGGGATCTTAGATTGATGCAACGAAGGAAGGGGTGAGAATCTGACTGGAACAAAGCCTGGGATTCTTAGTTTGAAGCAACGAAGTAAGGGAAGCCGGGTTGGATCCTTACTGGACAAGAAGCCACCAGTGGTTCAAAGCCTGATACTGGCACAAGCCTATACCCAACTGTTGCTCCATGTGGATGTTCTCCATCCGCAACGAAAAAAAAAAAAAACCAAGGCCCCAAATCACTGGCAGCTCGAATTCTGAAAGGGACCAGTCCCTTCTGATCGCGGTCCGAGAACCGTTGGCAATGAACCGGAAGGGGATTCCCTTCAAGGAAACCACATCGGGGATGACGGTTTTTCCGGGGTCCTTCCATTTCTCCCTCCCTGCCTATCGAACCGATCGCAAGTTGAGCCCATCGTCCCTATCGGCTTCAAACCAAAAAAATGCAACAAGCTTTGTTCAACCCCCTCAGGCTTTTGCTGTCCTTTCTTAGGAATCGGAACCCCCCGCCCCCGTTGGTGCTTCCCGAAAAACAGAAACACCCGACAAAGGTGTGTACCAACTCCTGAAAGCAACGCGGACAGTTGGAAAAAACCACCCGTGTTGCTGCGGCCCTTCCCGCAACACGTGACATGGTGTTCCTTCCATCCAAGGAAAAAACGCGGTCTTTCCATCCAGAAAGCGGTTCTTCAAAAAACATAAATTGTGTTCCATCAGAAAAGCGGTCTTCCCATCCAGAAAGCGGTTATTCAAAAAACAGAAATTGTTTTCCATCAGAAAAGCGGTCTTCCCATCCAGAAAGCGGTTCTTCAAAAAACAGAAATTGTTTTCCATCAGAAAAGCGGAGTCTTCCCATGCAAGAAGCGGTTAAATGAAGAAAAACAAGGCTGGACGGTTTTCCAAAAAAAAAAAAAAGGAAGAAAAAAAAGAAAAAAGAAACCAGAAACGGTTTTCCAGCTTGAGAACGTCCCCCTTTCGCTGGACGAAAGCGCCAGGCCTGGCACCCAGGCCCCGCCAGCGCCAGATCCGTCTGCCCGGGGAAGAAGGTTTCCAGCCCCGCCGGGCTCGTGCCCGACGCAACCGCCAGCCTCGAATCGGGAGAGCGGCTGATTTGTTGGTTCGACTCAAAGGCTGGTTCTGTAGGTCTATATATGCATGAATATGTATTCAATATGTATACATATATATATATACTAGAGCATATTTGTGTATACATATATATATATCTATATACATACTATACTATATTCATGTATGTCTGTGTGTATATAAATAAAAGAAAAATATCAAGGAAAGCCCATGGCAATTTCGCACCCTGGGGGGGCTGATGTCCCACAATTAAGCCACAACTACCGGTTAGTTAACCCACAATTCATACCAGAGGTTCGTAGAGGGGCCTATACATTCAGCCTGTGATCTACTAACATGGCCAAGGTTTATGTAGGCCTTATCCCTCTAAAAAGGCGGAACCTGGCCAATGGGGGCTTTGGGCGCTCCCTTGTGGGTGGCGGGTAGGAGGTGAGGGGGTAGCCAACGTTCGCATGACCCTAGTTTCAGGGGTTGATTCCCTTTCCATTCTATTCAACCATCGTTCTTTTCAAAAATCACCAGGCTCTTGTTGGTGTGTTTTCCAGGAAAAAATGCATCCGAAGCTGCCCCTCGCAACATCTGAGCCCCGCAAAATGATTTGCTTGCGAAAAGGACATGGGAAAGTTGGGCTGTCTCCTCTCCCATCTGACTTACCACCTAACAGGGGGGTTCTGCAAAAGGTTACTGTGTTTTTGAAAAAAAAAACTATGTTCAAGGTTTTGAAAGTCATGCTTCTTTTCCAAAAAAATATAATCCTGATATAAAGGATGAGATCGAATCTAAATTTGGGCAAGAGGACATGGAGCTTCCGGGCACCCTCCAGGTGTGTTTCTTTTCATCGAAGGGTAGCCCCGTCACTCGGCCAGTCCGTCTTTCCCACGGTGACATAGGGCTGTGGATGGACGAAGTCCGTTTCGCACCACCTAAGAAATCTGGACCAAGAAACACTGACGTCTAATGGTTTCAAAGTGGTGCAGGATCTTGTCCATCCACAGTAGGGGACAGTTCATACTTCCCAAATTGAGTCATTGTCAAAACCCGGGACCAAAATATTCCCCTGACTAACCTTCACTTACCCGGGTATTGGATTGCGACTCAATTGACCATAGACAGCCAGTTTTTGTGTGAACTCAAAAACTGAAACAGGCTTGCCATATTGGCAGAGGGGAAGTCACAGGGCCTGCGAACAAAACACAAAACGGAGAAGTGATAGAAGTCACTGAGGCGTCCGCAATGTTCCAAAATACAGGTTGGGCATCTCTGTCAAAATCAAAACTTGGTACGAAAATGGTCGATCCCCAGCACCATGCTTCAAGAATGAACACGGCGGCGAAGGCACCCATCTATGGTTGGGAGTATCCCTTACTAACCTTCATCTACCCGGGTTTTCGTTGTGGCGCATCTCTTCACAGCAGCCTCTTCTCAAACCCAAAGCCTCCTATCGTTCCAGGCTTGAACCTCTATTCTAAACGCGAAGAAACTCCGCATGCGGAATCCCACCCCATCAAACGCCATCAAGTCGTGGCCAGCTGGCCCTCTCCGAACCAAACCCCCCAAGGGCCGTTGCAGGGCCCCTCCTCGGGCCTGAGGTGTTTCATCACCCAAACCTGCAGCCCAGGCGCACGAGGTAGCTCAAGAAGATGAGCACCGACCTCAGCCATGAGCCAGGCGGGGTCTTTTTCTTCTTTTGCGGGTACCCCCAGGTTTTTCTGGCTTTCAAACGAAGCCAAAAGGAAAACCATCCCATTTTGGAGGTTCCAAAAATGAAGACGCACCGACACGTCCGTCCGAGTTGATTTGTGCAAGATCTTGCGGCTGAGGCGCTGGATCAGCGTAAACGTCGGAAAGCTTTGCATGACAAAGAACTCGGTGTCCTGGTGTCTTATCAAGAGCCTCATACCGCGGATGGACCAAATCCTGCACGGCTGGTATTTGCAGGGGAATCATCCTTCAAGGGTTTCTTAGGCGGTGCAGGATTTGTCCATTATAGCTTCTGTGCTTGTGGCCGGCGTGCTTACGGCATCACTCTGCACATGCGTCCTCAAAATTGCAGTTTTCTTTCGGATGGACGAAATCCCGCCGCTGTGCAACCATGGGAAAGCATTGAACATTGTTTGTTGGCATTTACAAGGGGAATTATCTTTCCAGGGCTTCTTCGCGGTGGTGCGAAATGGATTTTGCAACCATCCCCAGCATGTCTCCCCTAAAAATAGAACCTCCTATGGCCACTTGGGTGCAGAAGGACAAAAACCTACTGTAGGTTGTAACCAACATGTAGCCCAACTGGACTGAACCCTACTGTACGTGAGTAACCTAAGGGTCCAACTTGCCAGGCCGAACATCGCAAACCCCTTCGAGGAGCTCCTCTTCATGCACCTGCCCCTCCAGCATGTCAGCGAGGCTTTCATGCTCCTCCTCCTCCACAAGAATGGGTCAGGTGTGTCTCATAGGACACATAGCAAGTGCCCTAAACAGAAACCTATGTCTTGGGTTTCCCGAAACCAAAAATGGGTATGCACCCTGACGATTCAGAAGCCGCGAGGTAAGGAGCGACCAGAATTCCGGTACTGGACTTGGACAGTCATTGCGAAAGAACCCCCCTGCCTCCTGTCCGGTGAAGTCCAGCTGCCTGAAAACGAGGCTTGACATCTCAGTGAACGAGAAAACGACATCTGGCGCCAGTGCCGCTGCCATGACTCATTGACTCAATGCCAAGCCCTTAAGCCCTTGGCATTTGCTGAGCCTTTGTCACATCCTTATTGTCCTGAAGGGCAACTGCAGTGCGAGGTGTGAATAACATGCGCCGAAAGACACTCTGCACTGTTGGGGCTCAGGTGGGGGGTGTGTGGGGGGGTGTGGGGGTGTGTGGGGGTGTGTGGGGGTGTGTGGGGGTGTGTGGGGGTGTTCTGAATTCTAGTCACCCTCAAAACTGGGCAGAAGCTCCCAAATGATGTTGTCCCCAATCTAAACTCCTTCCCTTTGTGGGTCTTTGCACGTTTCTGGGTCACAAATAGCACCCTGAATACAACCCTGGTATGGTAAAAGGAAACCAGGACTAAAACCACACTGGTGGTTGAATTTTCACCCATACCTACATGGCCATGGGTCAAAAGCCCGTACCCCCAGTGAACGTTCTAAAATGGGTGGTGCACCTATCTCAAAATGGTACCAAAACAACTTTGACCCACAGCCACCTGACCAAACCACAGTCCTTGATCTTGGGCCGCTTGATGGGCGGGCCGCCCCAGCCCACGCCCTTCAGCCTGGCAAACGTCAAAAATTTCAATGGGGGGAACCTGCAACCGTGCAACCCCCAACCAGGAGCACCAAAAGGTCAAACCAGCTGCCCAATATCAGTGTTCTCGTTGATCATCATCATCATCACCACCACCACCACCATCATCATCATCATCAACATCATCATCATCATCATCTACATTACTGTCATCGATCGCTGAAGAAGTGCTGGGCATCGATGACATGCTCACCGGTCATCATTTCCTTCGTTGCCGGCATCATCAGCTTCAACTGGCTTTGTATCACGTATTAAGCAACGTCTTCACCAGTGACGGCATCGTCTGCATTGCCAGCGCCACCAGCATTGCTGGCATCACTGGCATGTTCAATTGGTGTGACTAGTGGCATTAGCACCCAACAAACCACCGCTCACATCGTGGTCAGCACAAGCAACAAGCCTCAAAGGACACATCCAAAAACCGCCTGCTTTTGCGGAATCCGAACCTGTCGAAACGTGGCGGGACCACTCTCTTTGGGTTGCATCACGATAGTCTGCCACCCTTAGTCGAGTTGAACCCACAGCGCCCCACAAGAAACCTGTGAAAAAAAAAAAAAAAAAAAAAAAAACACGAAATTAAACCATGGAGTCGAAACCACTCTTGTTGCGGATGGAAGGAAACCACTTCGATTTACCATGGAATCGAGAAATTCCCTAAGGTTTCTGAGAGGCACGAAATGGATTGCGCAACCATCCACGGTGTGAAAGTAACCCATCCAGTACTCATGGCTATGGGTCAAAACCCCATACCCCCAGTGACATCCCAATCCCCACTAAAGCAGACTAAAATGGGTGGTGCACCTAGCCCAAAGTGGGATTTCATTGGTGTTTACCCACGGCCACATGGCGTTTTGATGGCGGTCACAAGACTCTGTCACCAGGCTCGCGGCTGCGTGCGGCTTGTAGGCGGCCCCTGACTGTTCAAGGTCCATGGGGTCCGCTGTGCCAACAAAAAGAAGACTCGAAGAAGAGAAAAAAAAGGCTCGGAGGGGGAAAAAAAAAACATGCCCCCACTTGAAGGGGCAGGGTACTTAGTAAGTGGTTAGTAAGCCAGGTTATAACCCACATAGGAGACTTATAACCATGGTAAGTGGGTTACAACCTGACTTACTAACCACTTACTAAATACAATGCCCCTTTAAGCAAGAAAACACTCCACCAAGCCCCGGCTGGGATTTGGGTCCAGTTTGGTCAAGAAGAACTAAGCCCCATTGGAACCGGGCCCAAGTCACTGCCCCCTACCAGGCCATCGCATCGCGAGTGCAGCTCCAGTTCTCAGCTGCGGGCACGTTTGCGACGCCCCTTGACCTCTGATTGCACACGCTGCACGTCACTTGAAATCCGCAAAGATGGCAGGTTGCCATGCGAAAACGCTCGCTTTGTCTTTCTTTCTTTATTTCTTTCGTTCTTTCGTTCTTTCGTTCTTTCGTTCTTTCGTTCTTTCGTTCTTTCTTTTCTTTCTTTCGTTCTTTCGTTCTTTCGCTCTTTCTTCCTTTCTTTCTGCCTTTCTTTCTTTCTTCCTTCCTTCCTTTTTTTCTTTATTTCTTTCATTTGTTTCTTTCTTTCCTTCCTTCTTTCTTTATTTCTTCCTTCCTTTCTTTATTCCTTTCTTTCTTTCTTTCTTTTCTTTCTTTCTTTCTTTCTTTCTTTCTTTCCTTCCTTCTTTCGCCGCTTTAGGGGAGCTTCCCCTAGCCCCCTGGCTCGCTTTCTCTCTTTTTCTCTCTTTTTCACTCTCGCTCTCTCTCTCTCTCACAAACAAAAGCAAAGCAGCACAAAGAAAGCTTCTAGGGGACACTTCCACATTCCTTCCAGGGACCCTTCTTTCCAGAAAACCATCAGAGCCCCAGGGGGAAACAGCTGGTCCTTGAAAAGAAGGATGGTTGAAAAGATGGTTGGAATCTAATTAACCCTAGAAAGCTATTTCCACCACCCGCGTCGCTGCCATTTCGTGAGTTCATGACAAACGGCGGCGGCGCGGATGGCCGCCTTTGAAGAATCGAGTAAACGGGAATGAGCAAATGGAGCGTCAAGCTACACGTGGGCGTGTGGGTGTGTTCGTATATTTGCGTTTGCTGTATGTCATATCATCATGTGGGGTGTCTTTCTTTGGAGGGGTACCCTTTTTCCGCTTTTCAAGGAATCCGAAGGGGAAAACCTGGGAACCCACGTCCTTTTGGTGTTCGGTGAAAACCACTAAACAAAGGGGAACCCTCAAAAAACGACCAAATCTTGAGATTGCAGCCAGCCGGGAACCCTCTCTTGGGAAGAGTGGGAGTTGTTCCCAAAAGGCTGCCAGGTTCTGGAGATCGTCCACACAATGCCATGAAGGGAAACCAAAGGGAAAACCAACCGCTTGGGGGTGGTCCCAACCCTGAAAACAGACACAACTCATCCACTCAGCCCAGCGACCACCTGGAAGTTTGCGCGCCGCTGGGACTTGTCTTCAGCCTAGAACCGGCTCGCGGCTCGGATTCATCGAGTTGCAAACCTGCTTTGTCTCGTTTCATGAGGAAACCGAGGCCTTGCGAAGTTTCTTTCTTGGTTTTGTTGCTTTTGTGTTTGTTCTTGTCGCTTTTGTTTTGTTGTTTTCTTTCTTGTTTTGTGTCTATTTCTTTGCTTTTTGTTTTGTTGGGTTTTTTTGGGGGGGAGAAACCGCAATAAATTTGACTTGGAGCTACAAACTCAAGGGAGTTCCATGAAGGGGGCTCGTTCCCTTTTTCAAGATTGGCCCAGATGGATTTCTGTTCCAGATTCCCATCACTCGACGTCCACTTGGGTGTGAAGTTGTTGGGAACCCGTTGGCGGACATCATTGAGATTCTTTCTTGTACCAGATTTCTTGTATGTTCCGACTCTTACAATTCATCCCCACTTCAAAAGGGAGTTTGTCGGTGCTGTGCCTGGGGGCCCGCCCATTTCGGTCTGGACGCTACGATTGGAGGACGCAGCAAACATGTCAAGTTGTACTGCTACCCACCACAGCGCACTTTGGGCGCGTGTGAAGACCCTTTTACAGCACCAACTTAGAAACTTAGAAACCTTGGCCCACTGGGGTACAGAAAATATCGTGTTCTGATTCTTCATAGTTAGTCTGCCCTAGAAATACAACATAGATTTGGAGAGAGGAGACTCCTCTTGTGCGAGGAAAAAAAAGTAGCTCCCCCATAGTTGACCAATGCCTGCCAGATCCTCGCTGGCTCAAAGGGGCACCATCTCATCCAAAACCACCGAGGTGCTGTTGGGAGCGGTTCGATCTTTGTTCGACCGCAAGCTCGGCTCGCTGTTGGACGAAACTCGACAGGTGGTTTGTCAGGGTTTCATCCATCCAAACCAGGACTTCGTCATGGTTTGAGCTTGTCTTTGAGAGAACCCCCGAAAATCAGTGGTTTTAAAGGATACCCTCAAAACATGACGCACGCCTGCCTTGCCCAGCACCGAAACCTGCTCAGCCTGCGCGGGATGCTCCACGCCGGCGGCCTTTTTCGTGCGCGTAACACTAAACTGAAACCGGTACCCACCCCAAAACGCAAAAAGAGCCTAAATGTTTCTTTTTGAAGCGCCCAACATGGGAACCTCGCGTTTTCAAAGGGGTCCTGGAAGCAAACAAAAACAAGAGGAAAAAAGAAACAACAAAAAAGGGAGCAAGAAAAAGGAAAAACCAGCAGCCGCAAGATGCAAAAAGAAGGCTTCGTCCCCCTTTTCGGAGTGTCCGAAAAGGCCAAGAAATGGCCATGGGTCACAACCGTTTCGGGATCCCATTTTGTGGGTAAAAATTGACCACCCATTTTAGGTGTGTCCTATTTTAGTGCTTGGATTTTGGGTCCCGTTCACTGGACCCACCGCAGGTCCAAAACTCCGCGGAGTCGTCAGTTCCCCTCGCCTTGGGTCCGAGCGACTCCTGCTCACAGCTCGCCGGGGGCGGGTGAAAGGTGTGTCCCTGGCTGGTTTTTGAGGGAAGGGGCCTTGAAAATGAACGGGTTAAGGGAAACTCGGTTGCAAAATCTGCTCCCCTGCTAAAAGTGACTAACTTTTAGTGGTTTAATTCGGAAAAACCATTAGTTGGCAAAAAGTTAAAGTCCTAACATCCAAGCAAAATGCACCAAAGTTAAGGGAAACCAAGAGGAAAGTAGTAGGAACTTTTCTGATGATTGCTCTGGCGAAGGAAGTTCCCTGGCATGCACTTGAAGAAGAAGGAAGCATTTGCTTGGGAATCAACAGGGGTTTTGCAAACGAACCAATGGATCCCTTAAAGGAAATTGCAAGAGAACCAGCAAGTTTTTGGGGAACACACCCCTTTTGGTTGAAGTTAAAGGGAAACCACAAAGGGAAGTCACCCAAAATAGAACCCGCTTGGTTTCCCTTCCAATCCAAATTGACAAGGCTTGGAGTGGGGATTTGGCAAAGAGGCCTCGCAACTCACGCGCCTCATTTCTCCACAAAATTAGACAACCCACTCACAAAAAGCAAAAAACAAGCCCGAAACAAAGAAACGCGGCGCCAAGACCCGCGAGGGGAGCCAACCACCTCATCCGCTTCCACGAGCAAAGTCAACACTCCTCGTGCTGCAGGCGCCGCGCGCCGAACCAGTCGCTGAAGAAGTCCTTGAGGCCCTCCTTGGCGTTGCCAGTCACCTCGGAGCTCGAAGCAGTGCCCCGGCCAAAGGTCTAAGGGAAACACATGGCTGTCGATCAAAACCGTTTTGGATCCCATTTTGGGGTTGCCACAGTTTTCGAGCTGGTCCATATGGGTATGGTGTGGGTCAAAATTCATCCACCAGGATATGGACCGCAGGTGTTCGTCCATGTTTCCATTTACCAAGGTTCCATTTGGGGTACCTATTTTTGACCCACAGCCGAATCAGCACGTGCCCGGCCAAAGTTGGCTGCTTTCAGATGGCAATGGGTCAAGCTGGGGTCATTCTTTTGACTGTTTCTGGGGGTTATCAAAGTCAGAAAAGGGTGGAAGTATATACCCCTCGTTCATACCGGTTCCTTGGCTTCCCTAAATAGGTTCTAAAATGGGTGGTGCACCTACCCCAAAATAAAATCCCGCTTGCAACGCTCAGTCTATGCCTATCGCATAGGTTGCAAACATAAGAGGGAAAACTAACGGGGAAAAAAAAAAAGAAGAAAAAAAAACGGGTCTTTGCATTATTTTATTTTTTTTTTGGGGGGGGGGTGGGAACCAAGGGTAACCAAGGGAAACCTCCATAAGCTGGGTGGAGCTGTGCCGCCAGAGGTGGCCAACAGCGCGTCGTCCCCGGCCTGCTTCAATCTTGCCCTTCGTGGAACTTCAGCCTCACATCCGCATCCAGTCGCCAAATCCATGGGTCAACTCCTTTTGAACCAAATGTACAGAGGTGGTTGTATTGATCGTCCCTGCAAATTGACATGGAGTTGGGGCGATCCTGTCCCTAAAGAGATTCCTCTACAAAAAGGGCGTTGTTCGGGTTTACGTGTTCTACTGAACTGAGAATTGCTTAAACTGAGCATGGTTTAACCCTTTATCTTGCGTCAAGGTACGGACAAGCAACCCAAACTGGTTTATGCCACGGCCTCATCTGCCTCGTCCGCTATTGCTGCTCCTGCGAAGCGCTAGCCGCCAGCAAAGCACCAGAAAAAAAGACGGACCCAAATAGCTTGAGCCCCTTGGTGGGTCTTTGAAAAGGGGTGGCTAGAAGGTTAAAAGAGCGCTTGGGTGTCCAATGGCACATAACGATTTCACGACTGAAGGTTCCCTCTTGGGGATTCTTTGGTATGCTGCGGTCTTCACGTGAAATATGGCATAGGGGAATCCCGTCAAAGTAAATGTTGGAATTGTGACCTTTAGGTCGCCGTTGCCAAAACGAGGTACAGGGGTCTCCGGAACGGCCTTACATTGGTTGCCAAATCAGAGGCGCCTGAGGACCAGAAAGAACAACCATAAATTGTGGGTTGCAATAGCGAAGGAAACATTGTCTGGGGTATGTTGCGAAAATCCAGGTTTTCCAAGCGGCACATTGACATGTCTCTTGAGTCATTGCTGTATCTTTCCGCACCAGGCTTGGTGTCAAAAAAGGGAACCGCCAAAAAACCAAAATGAAAAACACCACCGCTGGGGAGGTCCCCTTCTCCAAAAAAATGAAACAAAAACTGGTCCTCAGATCCCCCACTAAAAGTTTAACTTTTAGTGGGTTAAATGGAAATCCCCACTAAACACTAAAAGGCTAAAAAGCTAAGGGGATGGCTGGGAGCCATCAAGAAAAAATGGAGGTGTTCCTTTGGCTTCGACCTGAAAACCGACTTGAAAACGGGTACCCTCTAAATAGTGACAGAGGGGTCCTGGTTTGGACCGTCTCCTTTTAAATAATAACCGATTCCCGAACGTCGAACGGTTCCAAGTGAATTGGCCGGAGGGCTACCACGTAACGGTGATCGCCTTCCAGCCCATCGAAGGAGGCTGCTGTCGGCGTGTGTCCTGAGGCGAATGGTGCCCAGGCGAATGGCGCCAAGCGAAAGGTAAAGCAGGTCGCGATGTCGGCGAGGGGAGCCTCTTGGAATCTTCGGGGGGGCTATGGGGGGGCTATGGCTATCCCTGGACAAGCCCAGGATAACCCAAGGGTTTTTGCCCTTAATAAGGGCTCAATAAGGGATAGCCCCTCCCCATAGCCCCCCTTGGGGGTCCATGACTTGTTGTGGAAAAAAAACACTTCGCACCAAAGATTGGTATTTCCAGGGGAATCGAATCATTATATTTCGCAACCATCCACAGTATTGCTGGTTGGTCTCAGATGCAACTGCCATATCAATTGGTCCAAGTGAGATTCCGACACCAAAAAAATGTAGGGAACAACCGAAAACCGATACACTGGAAAATGGTCCGTTGATCTGTGCATTCTCACAAAAAAAAGTTGAAAAATGCAAAATCAACAAGTTTTTGTTACCTTCAAACCAGCAAACTTATGGCAAAAAGTACAAGGTGTCTAGGGTTTTGTGGCTGGCACTCACCCAAAAACAAACAGACCTTGTGTTGGCTGGTTCTTTGGAGGGACAAAGCCAACAAAAACCAAATTGACAGTTGCAAGCCAGGGGTCTTCATCAATTGGATGCGTAAATGCTGTTTGAACCTGGCAAATCTTCAGCAGAACCGAACCGAGAAAGCCAACTCAAAAAGACAGCGTTTCACATTGGTGACGAACCATAGCACACATACCTGCTTCTACATCATTGCCGACATCACTGTCGGTCTGACAACATGAGACCTCAGGAAAGCTGCGATTCCTTGGGCGAGTTGCAAAAATCCAGTCCCAAGCTCCTAGGAACAATGGGTTTCCATCCACCAAATCAGTTCTGTGTCGTTGCGAAGCTTCCAATTTTTGAGGCCGGACGTCCTTTTTCTGATGCAATGCACAAGCCTGTTGCCCACCAAACTTTGCGTGGGAACAGGACGAGATGCGGGCTGCCCAGTGCATCCGAGGAGCGTAGCTGATCCAAGGTGCTGGTGCTATGCGCACTCCTGAGAGTTGGGTTGGGCCAAAACCGCCAGAAAACTTGGTCCAGCGCAGCACTTCCCGGCCGAATTCTTCTGCAGACGCACCCAAGTTGCGCCGACAACAACCACGTGGATCTGCTTCACACACCCCAAGATTCGCACGCGCAAAACGCGAAACACGTGCCATGCTGGACGTGCCTGGAAAGGTCCTTCACCGTCGCGCTGGGCGGCAATCTTAGCCCCACAGCGTCCATGGCATGACAGGCGCACAAGCTCGACAGGCCTTCGGCGGAGTGGCCTGGTACCCAGACTTTGGGGGCAAACCAAGCGCCACGTCGATTGCAACGAGGTATCGAATTCCAAATCACTGGTGCGGTGTCATTGTATAAACACCGTGCTGCAGCTGTCTACCATGCAAATAAACTGCGCTTAGAACATGCGGCACGTGAATGTTTAACCAGGGCCTTCCTGATGGCATGCATCCTTGGGCCGAAGCTTCATGTTCAGTGACGACGCCGACACCTTTCAGTCAAGCATTTCTGCTTGTCACATTACGCGCCACACCTCCCAGGATCACACTGCGGGGTTGGCCCGCCACTCGAAATTTGGTTCTTTAGAGGGATATCAAGCCAGGGGTCTTTCATCAATTGGATGCGGAAATGCTGTTGGACTCATGAAAACCCAATATCATAAAGACAAGCTGGCCGTTTCTTGTAATTTGCCCGCCCCTCAAAGGGGCGAAAACAACAAAATAACTTCAAGAAACATGCCATATGTCAGTCCCACCGGCTTACCAGTTGTAAGTTTCAAAATGGTAGAATTCAATCAAACATCGGATTTTGCATTGAAATTGCGTTAGGCCCGAATCAGGATTCAAACGGAATCTAATGCGGGAAGACAAATCGTGGTCTTCTAACTTCCAGCCTGAAAGACAAGTACAACATGGAGAATCCAAATTCCATTTCTTTTTGTCCAGGCATTTTGCAGGGGCTGGCTGGGGTTGTGGCGGGAAGAGACATTTTCCCTCTCCCACTAACCACAACCACCTAAGCCAGATCGCCTCTATGTACAACCTGGCACCCCGTATGGCCAATTTGTTTCAAGTGTTACTTCTCAACACAAAAATTAGGGGTTGATCAATAGATCCTTTGCATGGGATGACAGCTGGGGAAGAAGACCACCAACAAATAGTTAGTCATAATTATTGGTTGTGACAAAATGGCCATACGTGGGTTTCCAGGACCAGGCAGGGTGCTAGAATACCAGATTGAAGACAGCCAAGAAACATCCTTTGTCGCTCCAGCCTGCCTTCGTGAAGATCGTGAACCTAGTTCCATGTTGACCAAGACCTAATCAACTGTTGGGAATGCGAGAGCTAGCATTGGGTGGCAACTGGCAACTTGGGGGCTGCTCTTCAGGGGCCAGCAGCCGTGGCTCCAGCGCTTCAAGTGGTAAACATCACGCCGCACAGCCACTCCCACCACGTGGCCTGGCAGCGAGGCTTGGGAAAACAATGGTGAAGGACGACCCTTGGTCCAGCAACGCAATGAAACAAATCCTATCTTTGGGTTCGTCGGAGCGGGGGAAATCCAAATTGAATCCCTTCCGGTTGGGAAGAAGCCGGTTCTTGCTTCTAGGAGAACCAACTATGGTGAAGGATCCAACCAGCACCACAGTTTTGCATTGTACTCAACACAAACATCCGACATCAACAAAAGCCATACGAAACTACAAAACCAGACATGACAATGCAACCGTCACTGCTAACCTTTGGAAGTGCAGCACGCCACAATTCCATGACAACACGTTGACGTGATAGTGTGCTTGTAGGATCATGTCGAGATGCACTGATGCTGGTATGAGCGTTCTAGTTGGTTGGTTGTGAGACTTATGAGGCATCAGGGCTCAAAGTTGCACGTTTACAATTCCTCCCCCAAAAGGCCTACACACAGAACGCAACACACAACAAGAGAAGCTATAAACTACTAGACAACATACAATTACTTGATTCGATTCCAGAATGTAGAAACCGGCAAACTCCGAGGCGCTCAACACCTCTGGGGTAATATTTGGAACAATCAGAACCATTGGAACAGCCTGAGAGCTGGTTCGTGTCGAAGACAATCACACGAGTCTAAGGCCTTGATTCATTACGAACATCCAGGGGTTCTGAGAAGCACCACACCATGCCCTGCACCATTCCCTCTGGACATAGTTGTAATTGCACAAAGGCTCACAAGCAAAAACATGATTCCAACATTCAAATTCAACCTAAGTTGAATGCCTAAAGCAACACAAAACAAAATCATGTGAGCCATTGCTTCTTTAGCTAGTCTGAGGCAGATTGGCGAACTGTTCTGGGAAAACCCTGAGGCACCATTGCCCCTTGAACGAGTTGGAACAGAATGGGAAATTGGACTGTGTGCCAAAAAGTGCATGGGGATGCTGCAAGGAAACGAGGCAGTTGGAACCATACAAACCACCAGAAAATCTGGAGCATCAACAAGTATATTATGCGGGCATCTATCCAACTCTTACCTCTTGTGGGCATTGGGATTGTTCCTTCATGGTGAACCCAGTATCCTTGCAAAGGAAGTGAGGCGTGGTGGGAATTGGAAAATAATATGCTTGACACCTGTTCAACAGAGAGGTGGTATGGGGGATCCCCGGAATTATTTTGTTCCACGAAGTTGACAATACTCCCAATTCGAAATCCCGCAACTGGCGGCTTACTATAAACATCATGCTGCTTCTTGCTTCTATCTTTGTTCAACGTCAATGCTGACTCAAGACATTCCTGACATCAGGATGTTTTCCCATGAAGTTCGCGCAGCCAAGCTTGCACGAGCCAACTTGCACGAGCCAACTTGTGCAGCCGAACTCGCACGGGTCAACTTGCACGAGCCAATTTGCGAGAGAATTTATCGCGCCGTCAAACTTGCTAGTCTCTTAAGGTGGCGCCGGAGTCATTGTCCTCCTACTTCGTGCTCAGTGAAAAAGAATTTACAAACGGCTAGCGCCCGAGATTTCTTTCTGTCAGTGCTCACTTTCCACTTCATGAAGTCCTCTTGTTCTACTCGTTGTTCGAAACGAGATGATTGTTGCTTCGACCTTGCCTCCTCGTGTACGTCGCACAAGAACTCCTGGAGAAGGCTGAGTGATCCACCGGGGGACATGCCACCCTCACATTATATACGTTTGAACATTGCCTGGTAAATGGTGGTTTCCCTCTGCTGGAAAAAGCCATGTTTCAAATGGGCGAAATGTATCTTTTAAGGAGCCCTGTTAGTGACAAGACAGTGTTCGAGGAGGATGAGAAGGAGAAGGACGAGGACGCGTGCAAAACACCCCTTGAGCTCTCAGCGATCAGAGGGACACCCTGTGAAACCCACCTGTGAAACCCGTACGGACAAAATACCTGGACCTGAGTGCAACACGCTTGTTTGATGACCAGTCCAGGCAAAACCGATGCGAACCCATGATGTCCAACGCAAATTGGTTTGCTGGGACGTCTGATAAGCAAATGCAAGTTAAGAGAATCAAGTTTCAACGTAACCCAGTTGAGATGGGCAAACCCGTCCTTGAACTCCTTGTGCCGCATGTCTCTCGCCTGCAAGCCCAAGCCAACTTGCTCCGGCCCGTGTCTTCAAGCAGAGGCTTTGGGGAACCAGACCTTGCCACATACATACATACATACATACATACATACATACATACATACATACATACATACGTACGTACATGCATACATACATACATTACATACACACACACATACATACATACATACATACATACATACATACATACATACATACATACATACATACATACATACACACATATATATATATATACATATACATGTGTCTGTGTGTCTGTGTGTGTCTGTGTGTGTCTGTGTGTGTGTGTGTCTGTGTGTGTCTGTGTGTGTGTCTGTGTGTGTCTGTGTGTGTGTGTGTGTGTCTGTGTGTGTCTGTGTGTGTCTGTGTGTGTCTGTGTGTGTCTGTGTGTGTGTGTCTGTGTGTGTGTGTGTGTCTGTGTGTGTGTGTGTGTGTCTGTGTGTCTGTGTGTGTGTGTGTGTCTGTGTGTGTCTGTGTGTGTCTGTGTGTGTCTGTGTGTGTGTGTCTGTATGTGTGTGTGTGTCTGTGGGTGTCTGTGGTGTCTGTGTTGTCTGTGTGTCTGTGTGTCTGTGTCTCTGTGTCTGTGTGTCTGTGTGTCTGTGTGTCTGTGGGTCTGTGGGTGGGTCTGTGGGTCTGTGGGTGGGTCTGTGGGTCTGTGGGTCTGTGGGTCTGTGGGTCTGTGGGTCTGTGGGTCTGTGGGTCTGTGGGTCTGTGGGTCTGTGGGTCTGTGGGTCTGTGGGTCTGTGGGTCTGTGAGTCTGTGGGTGTGGTCTGTGGGTCTGTGGGCGTGGTCTGTGCGTCTGTGGGTCTGTGGCTCTGTGGGTCTGTGGGTCTGTGGGTCTGTGGTCTGTGGGTCTGTGGGTCTGTGGGTCTGTGGGTCTGTGGGTCTGTGGGTCTGTGGGTCTGTGGGTCTGTGGGCTGTGGTGGGTCTGTGGGTGGGTCTGTGGTGGGTCTGTGGAGCTGTGGTGGGTCGCTTGGTCTGTGGGTCTGTGGGTCTGTGGGTGTGGGTCTGTGGGTCTGTGGGTCTGTGGTCTGTGGTCTGTGGGTCTGTGGGTCTGTGGGTCTGTGGGTCTGTGGGTCTGTGGGTCTGTGGGTCTGTGGGTCTGTGGGTCTGTGGGTCTGTGGGTCTGTGGGTGTGTCTGTGTGTCTGTGTGTCTGTGTGTCTGTGTGTCTGTGTGTCTGTGTGTCTGTGTGTCTGTGTGTCTGTGGTCTGTGTGTCTGTGTGTCTGTGCGTCTGTGTGTCTGTCTGTCTGTGTCTGTCTGTGCGTCTGTGTGTCTGTGTGTCTGTGTGTCTGTGTGTCTGTGTGTCTGTGTGTCTGTGTGTCTGTGTGTCTGCGTGTCTGTGTGTCTGTGTGTCTGTGTGTCTGTGTGTCTGTGTGTGTCTGTGTGTCTGTGTGTCTGTGTGTCTGTGTCTGTGTCTGTGTGTCTGTGTGTCTGTGTGTCTGTGTGTCTGTGTGTCTGTGTGTCTGTGTGTCTGTGTGTCTGTGTGTCTGTGTGTCTGTGCGGTTTTGCGGTTTTGTGGTTTTGTGGCTTTGTGGTTTTGTGGTTTGGTGGTTTGGTGGTTTGGTGGTTTTGGTGGTTTTGGTGGTTTTGGTGGTGTTTGGCGCGTTTGGCGTGTTTGGCGTGTTTGGCGTTTTTGGTTTTTGTGGTGTTTTTGGTGTTTTGTGTTTTGTGTTTTTGGTGTTTTTGATGTTTTGGTGTTTTTTGTGTTTTTGTG